GCTAGACCATTTTAAGAAAGATGCCACACTTGAGCCACACTTTTCTCCACTGGTGCACATCTGGGTTTAGTTGCCACCCACTGTCAGTCCCTGGTGTGGAGGAACTGGCATTTCTTTCCATCTAAAATCCCACTTGTCATAGAGTTTAGAACTTCTCTTCTGCCGGAGGGGAAAGCAGTTTGGATAAGAAACATCAGAGTTATATTAGTGGGAATGAAATGTCTTTTCTTGTCATGTATCCAGCTTTGGGCTTACAGTACTTCTGTAGGTCCCCAGAACAGGTTGGCTGTATTAGGAAGGATCGAGCTTCAGAAAGCTTTTTGGGAACTTGAACAAAAGCGGCAGAACTTTCTCTGAAAAGAAGTCACCACCAACTTTAACCTCCAACACACAGAAAGGGATTGGAAAGCTGATATAATTTGTTGAAATTTAAAAAAAAATGATTTACACTCTTTCATCTAAGTACAAAAAAAAACTGAGAGTCTCTGATTTTGGTGGTAGTGGTAGTTCATTTCCTTTGGGTGCTTACCTTTGCCAGCCATCCCACTGAACACTTTATACAGAATGTTTCATTCAGTCTTCCCCAAAACCTTCTGTAGTAGATTTGGTATTATCCCCATTTAACAGATGAGCACCTTGAGGCTTTATGGGTTTAAGAAGCTTGTAGAAGGTGCCACCAGTCCTAAAGGAGGAGGGATTTAAGTCAGGTGTGTCTTTCTTATTTCCTAACTACCATGCCCTGCACCAGTGGTTCTACAACTTTAATGTGAGTCAGAATACCCCAGAGGCCGTGTGAGAATTCCTGTCCCTGACCTCCCCATGTCATCTTTGATTCTGGAGCTGTGGCCAAAGAACTTGCATCTCTAAAAAACTTCCAGGCAATGTCAGTGCCACTGGTTCAGGGACCACACTTTGATAACCCCTATTACACCTCATCTCATTTTCTAGAAAATAGTGTAAGCACAGACTTCAGAAATCTTGAATGAAAATGACTGAGGGTGGAACTGAGCACGGACACTCAGCCTAAGCACAGATGCACAGATGGGTAACAGCCATGGTGTTTCTAGAGCATCTCTTCTGAGAAGACGGTGTCATGAGACGAAGATAATTGACCTGTTGTAGGTTTTATTCTGGTATTCCCTTGGCTGCCCGATATTTCCGAGAACACAGTCACACTGGATCATTAAAAAAAAAAAAAAAGAAAGAAAGTACCACCACCATTCCCTTGTACTAATAGGCCATTTTTGAAGTTCAGTAGTTTTCCATTAGAATAATGACATTTCATTTTCAAACTATACTTAGTTCATTTTGTTTTGACTCAGTAAGACCTAGTATATTCTGATTCTCTATAAACACTCACCATTATCTTGGAAAATATCATCAGAATGCTAATGCTAATGACCACATAGAGTAGTAGATTTGGAAAAAAGAAAGTTTTCCAAATCTTGAATCAGGTCTTGTATCCTATTAACCAATTCAACAAAAACTGTTTAAGCTATTTTATTAGTATTGAATTTCACCTGAATTAAGATTCCAAAGGCACATTTGAAACCTGAAATAAAGCCAGTTTACTTGTCGATAATCTGTTCTGAAGCCTTCTGAGCTTGCTCAGAAGAAAGGCTTTGGCACCTTATTTTTCTAAACTTAATAGCAAAGATAACAGCCTAGGTGTGAAACCACCAATAAAATACAGACAATTGTTCTGCAGATGGATCAGGGAAAAACAACATCCTGAACTTTGCTGCAGTGCTTTTTCTGTGAGAAATTACATTACAGTATTGTATGGTACTGAAATCTACACACATTCTGAAGGCAAATAGAGACTGGTGGTATGTGGGATTCCTCTGGCTGCTTTTTTCCAAATACCTTAGGCAATGTCAATTCCTATGGGGGGATCTTAAAAAAAAACATTAATTATCAGGTGACTTTCTAAGTGCTGGAACAGTTTCCTTCACTTTTGAGTAGAGAATAAAATACCTGTGCAGGTTTGTGCTGGCAGCAGTTGCTGGATGTGTGTCCAGAGGGGCTGAATTTTCTAGAATCAACCTAAGGATTCTCTTGAGAGCTTCTGTTTCGCAGCAAATAGTAACTGGAAGCTATTGCCAGAGATCAGGAATGCTCTGTTTTTCTGGTGAACTGGCTGCTTCATTGGGATTAGCACAGCACAGGGGGTGAGGAAACCTACCCTCTGGCTGGCAAGGACAGGCAGCTGGCATTTTCTCTCAGACTCTCAGGTTAGGAGCAAAAGGCAGGTACTGGAGCCATGCACACACCGTTGCTTTGAGACTGATACCTGCATCTCCTGGTGCCAGCACAACCAAGGAAACATTCAGGCTGTTCCCCCAGGAGTGGGGTCCAAAGGGATGCCTCAGAGGATTTTTCTTTTTCCTCCTGCCTCTGTGGCTGCCCAGAGGTATTTATTTATCAGTGTGGACCAAGCAAGATGCCAGCAAGGACCCTATAGTGTGAAATCAGGTGCTCCGCAAAGCAGAGGAGGAGACCTGGGCGGGTGTGGGCGTGGGTGCGGGTGCATGTGCATGCAGGGCGTGCAAGCCAAGTGCGCTGAAATGCAGCTCTCCTCTTTGCCTGCAAAGAGTTGCTCCACTTCCCCCGCTGCCCAGCGCACTCGGGGAGCGCCAGGGGGAGTCCTCACCGGCCAGGGCTTCCCGGGCCCCGGGAGCGCCGAGGGCTCGCCTGGCGGAGCTTAGCGCAGCTTGCTCGGCGCTGCCAGCGAGCGGGCGGGGTGGACACTGGGCTTCTGTGTGCCAGCCGCAGCCGTTGGCTGGCGGGCGCCCAATCCCAGGGCATGCCGCGGGACGCTGGCCAGGACGCACGGTGAGAGACGAGTTTGGGGGAAGGCTTGACCCCCAGCTGCCAGCAGAAGCCGGCTTCGGGAGCCCAGGCGCTGGGGCCGCTCTAGTCGGGCTTGCTGGGCTGCAGCTGCGGGAGCAGGGCACCCCCAGGCTCGCAGGGAAGGCGGCGGCATGGCTTCGGTGTTCATGTGCGGAGTGGAGGACCTACTGTTCAGCGGCAGCCGCTTCGTGTGGAACTTGACTGTGTCCACTCTGCGGAGATGGTACACGGAAAGGCTGCGGGCTTGCCACCAGGTGCTGCGGACGTGGTGCGGGCTTCGGGACGTGTACCAGGTGAGCCAGGATGCGCGACGCCCGAGGGCCCTTGCAGTTTGCCAGGCGCTCATGGGAAGCCGGTTCCACCTGTATGATTTTATTCTCTCTCTCCCTCCACCTCTGTCTGTCTTTAAACTCCTAGCGGTTCGCCTGACCCTTCGGTCAAATATTCAGCAGCTATGAATAACTGTTGCCTGAGAAAGCTTGTGAAATTTTCCAGTCCAGCGCGAGCTGCACTTGGGAGTTAGTCCCACCATTTGCAGGTACCTGTTACAGAGTGGCAGTGTGCTGGCTGGCACTTAGCTAAAGAAGCTGCAGCTGTGCAGCAGAGGGTCTGTGCCAGGTGGCATTCAGATGAGTCTTTCTTTTTTATGTCATTGGAGTTAGGGATGTGCATTTCAGGATTTCACACCAGTTTACAATCAGAAGAGTCTTAATGGATTTGCATTCTTCTCTGATTTTATTTCAGTTTTCCCTCAGGCAGCCCCAACTTGCAAGGCAGAACCAGGAAATGCTGATTCTGTGTGTACTGGCATTTGGAGGAAGGACAGCAAATTGTGAACACTTTGCAGGAGGATGATGGGCTGGGGAAGGGAGGGGTGGCCTGGTGGAGCGTTGGAATGCTTACGGTTGGATTTACTCCCTGTCACACAACACAGCCTTTTTATTTCTCTGCTAAGTCCCATCCTGCAGGCAAAAAATGCAGCAACTTTGTTCAAGTAGGAGATTGGAACTGCAGCTTCCCTGGAATTTTTTTTAAACAGTCATTTGTGGATTTAAAAGTCCTGTGCTTTCATTGTTAATATTGAGATTTTTTAAAAATCTATTTTCATTTAGGAAGATTATAACCTGGTGTTTTTTATAGGAATATATCATCACATTTTCTTTCCTGGGATATGGAATAGCTTTGTTCCATAATAGCAGTTCCTGGATTCTCCCTACTCTGACCCCACTCCCAATATGGCTATAATTTATATCTTGTCCTATATTGTGCCCTATTTGTGATCAAGCCTCTGGTTTTGATGAGCTGTAGGCTTCCATCAATCCAGCAAAATTAAAAGATCAGCTCCTAAGGCTAAACTATGGACGTCTAAAGAATCAGTGTCCCCTTGTCATTTTGATATGCGCATCATCCTTGTTAAATTGTGGGCAACATTTTATCTTACTTCATGCTTTCACAGCTCCTGCTTTGTATAACATGTCTGAGCTGCCTTGCATTTTGAAAGAACCCAAAAGCCAGGTTGAGAACTGGGGCAGCATGTGGGGATTTGCAAGTATTACCGAGAGTTGTGGATGTATCCCATCTGGCCACATTACACAGATCACCTGGCTTTTTGGAGCCAAAGATGTGTCTGCCTCTCAGCCTCTTTTTTCTTTTGGGAAATCACTGTTCAGTTGGGCTTGTAGGAGAAATGACCCTTGTATAATTTTGTTTTTACTTTCTCATGTTTGAGAAACTTTCAAAAGGAGAACGCAAGTACTGAAACCAACCAGGCAGCCTCCGTGCCTCCCCCCAAGGATTCAGGGGACCTTACGGGTTATCTCTTCTACTGTTAGTGACTAATTTTAAAAAGCGAAGGTTCCAGGAATCTGAGACCCCCTGGGTTCTTTCTGAGGTTGATCACTAATTATTTTTTAAGCAGAATAGCAACTTGAAGGACTGAACTACTAAACTGTAGGTTTTCTGTTCTGTGAAATGGATGGTGACTGAACCAGTACCCTTTTATGATGATGAAAAGAAACATCTAAGAATGATGGCCATGTTATGATTAATGAGTCATAAGTAAAAAATGATCTCTAAGTTTAAACTTTCCTATATCTTTGGGAAAATGAGATTTTGTGAAATGTTTTAAAACTTGGGGGAACCGTAGATTTCTTAATTGCCAACATAGATACTTGTAAGCAAAGGAACACCATTTTCTTTAATGCCTTTCAAATATTAAGCAAGAAAGTAGTGACTTAGATTGTATAAAACAAAGAGAATAAAATAAAGTGCCTAATACCTTAAGCATCAAGTTAAATAGGAGTATGAGGAAGGCCTGTTTCTGCCTGTGTATGATCACGGGTAAGTTACTTAATCTTACTACTTCGGTTTCAAGATTTATAAAATGGGAGATATAATGGTACTAATCACAGAAGTTGAAAAGAGAATTAATTGACTTGTGAGATATTTAGCATAATGCCTAGAGTTTAGGAAGCATTCAGTAAATGTTATCTGCTCTGTGATTTGGGATTTATTTATTGTAATAGTAAATTCAAGTCAAATTAACGAATAGAATAAAAAGAAGGGAATTTTGACACAACTGAAAAGTCTAGCCATAGAATTAATTTTAGGTATGGTTTGATCATGGCTCTTTGCTTGTTCCCGTGATATTTTTCAAGCCCTGTCTTGTTATTGTGTTGAATTTGTTTTCAGCTGTTTTTGCCCCGCATGGTAGCAGATAGCAGTTCCAGGGCTCTGATCCACATGTGACCCATCCAGAAAGAGAATTTCTCATATCTACCATCTATCAAAAAAAAAACCCAAAAAACAGAATCACCAGTTTGCACTCTGATAGGTCATCTTAGGGTCTGTGCCTACACCCAGTGCCATGACTGATTGGCATAGGGAATGGCATTATAATTCATGCATTCTCAATGGAATTAATGTGGTCCCCAAGAGGTAAAAATTGATTCTTGGGGACAGGAGGAAGGTAAAAAAAATCTTACTCCTTTTATGGAAGAAGCACAGATAATATGTACAGTATGTAAACAGATACATTGTATATTTGTGGCCTTAGAATTTTTAGGAGCAGGGGGTGACTAACAAACAAAAAATATCTAAAAGACTCCTTAAGGGGGTGATAATGAATAAAAAGGTTGAGAAACACTGAATTACATTGATTAGCTTAGGCCATTGGGAGAGCAGACCCATATCTGAAGCTGGGAGTGAAGTTGTCCCCACCTAGACCACCCATCTATCAAACAGAGAGAGACAGGGTCAGTGCTTCGGTCAAGATGCGATCAGCAATGTCCCTGCACCTGCATTATTAGAATCTCAAATGGAGGGCTCTTTAAATAATGTTATTAGTTACTCTTCTAGGTAAGTACAAAGATAAATGCACAAATATGTTTGTATTTTGCCACAGTAATTTGAGTTCAGGGGGTGGGGGCCCATCATTAGACCACCCATATCACTGTCCCATAATTACGAATTCTAAACCATAGAAGGGAGTGTTCCATTGTTCTGCCCAGCTTTCTGGCGTATGAACTGGAAACACCATAGGATTACAACTTTACTGAGGCCAATTTTTTATCATCTTAATGATAAAAAGGTGTCTTTTTCTTCTAGTCTGAATAGTCCTGTTTGTAAGGAAATCCAGGGCTCAGTCACTCTAGGGAAACATAAAATAAGGGTGGGGTGGGAGCTATCCATTACATGAAATACCTGACAGTCCCTTGGGGGTATTTTGTTTATTCATATACTATAAGTGAAATATTATCTCCCACCTATTCATAAGGAATTTGGCAACAACATTATTGCCTGGCTGGCACAGCTGGGAAGGCATAGTTTCTTTGGAATTGAACACTTCCTCCACTTCTAGATATTGGAGAGGCAAGAGATTTAATTTGCCAAAAACCATGAATAATTAAGATACTAGCTACAAGGCATTTCTGTAGTAATATGAGTAAATAAAAGCAGGTGAGGCTGCTTTTAACAAAGACTTACTTTATGAGTGAAGGTTTGAATTTGGCTGAAGTAGCAGACAATGGGACATTTACCTGAAATTTGGGGTGAAATATTAAAAGCTCATTCATCAGCCATATATCTCTCCTGCTTATTTCTCTCCTGGATAGGTTTAACAAACAATTGAGATGGAAAATGATGGGAGACTGTGGTTGAATAAGGATCAACACACTTTGCTTTTTATTAAGTATGACATGTTCAAACAAAGCCCTTGGTTTATTACTTGGGATTAAGTTTTCCCCTCATCCCCAACATCTGGAAGGCCAACCCTGAATGGAGTCATTGCCTCCAGCAGGAGGCAACCTGGACAGAATCCAGGATATTTAAGTGACCAGAAGAGGCTGGGTCAGCTCCCATGAGGCAGGCAGCTGGCACTGAGGGGTAGCATGCAGTGCAGAACGCAGGAGAGGCTGTAGGCTCAAACTGGAGCAAATTTGACCTCAAACAAATCACTTTACAAATGGAGCTTTATTTCTCTGAGCCCCATTTCCCTCTGGGTAAGAGGGAAGAACTGTAGAAACCTGCATTTTGGATAGGGTGAAAATTCATGAGATAATTAATGTACATGATACTGAGCACTTTGTCTGGCACAAGCTCTTGATTATGTAAGAATCAACACCAAAGCCACAGAAGGTACTTGACAAAGGGTAGCTAAGGGTATTGCTACTGTAAGTGAGACTAGTTCTCTAGAAACTGAATTCCTCTCTTTACATGTGAGGGTGTTCACTAAGAGAGACTATGGAATTTCTCACAGCAGCATGTGTAAGGTGGACCTTGAATATTTGGATTTCTGTTCTACATAGTAGACCTACATTTTCTTTAAGCCTATACAAAAAATCTAGGCAGTCACAGGCAGTTCATACTAGGGTCTGTAAGGAGACAATCTCTCTATATCCAAGACTCTGATGACCCATAAACTGGAAACATCTGAACTTTGCATCCCACCACATTGGTTGGGGAAGACCAAGTCCCCCAAAAGGCAAATTACTCATTGAGCATTCAGTGACCTGTGTGCATTTCAAACCATGTACACTTTGCTGGCCCCCACCCTTCACCCCCTACAGTCCCCTAAATTATATAGCCTAGAAAGAGGGCTGACAAACTATGACCTGTAGGAGAAAACTGGCCCTGCCTTCTGCTTTTGTAAATAAAGTTTTATTGGTATACAGCCCTGCTCCTTCATTTGGATTTCACTGGCTGCTTTGCACTCCAATGACAAAATTGAGTAGTTGTGATTCATCTACTTGAAGTTGAGTAGTTGATACAAAGACTGTATTGGCCACAAAGCCAAAAATACTATCAGGCCCTTTACAGAGAAAGTTTGACAATCCCTGAACTAGAAAAACAAGCAATGTAGTAAGCAGAAAATACTAGAGGAAGAAAAGTCCAGAATTTACTCATAGAATAGTAGACCTTGAAGGAATACGGAAGAATTTCTCATCAAAAACCTAGTCACTAGGACATTAATAAACTCATTTCCAGGATGAGTGTTCAGTTTACTAGATTCTTTGCTACAGAACATAATGATTGGATTATTGACTCATTTGTTTGTCCATTTATTTATACCTAAAATGATTATCAAGGGTTTTCTGTGCCCCAGTTAAGGTGCCAAGGTGTTAGCAACACAAAGTCAAAATAGACATTTCTCCTGCCCTCAAGAAATCTATTGTCAAGTAGCAGTTAAGGAAATGAAATTCTGTTGAGGAGCTCTGGCCAGGGTACTCTAGGCACACAGTGGGGGTGTGTAAATCAGACAGGGTCTAAAGAACTTCCTAGAGGAGATGATTCTGTAGCTGAGGTCTGAAGGACAAGTAGCAGTTGGATCAATAAAGAAAGACAGAAAGTCATGTCAGGAGTGAGAAAATGGCATTTCGGAGGATTATAATGAGTTTTTTAAGGCTGTTGAGGAGAGAGGGAGAGACAGGGTCATAGTTACAGACAGATTTGGGTTGAGACTAACACCTGAACTTGAGTAATCTTTTGCTTTAAGATTAGAGTTTAACGTTTTCCTTCAGAACTTTGGGGGCAGGGGAGAAGCTGATTGAGGGCGATCCTGGGCAGCAGTGAGGCTGCTAGGTTTGAGAGAGGGTGGCATGGTAGAAGCAGGAAGGGAGGGAAGTTAGGAAGCTGGTGCAGTGGTTCAGGTGTATTAGTCAGGTTGGGACAGGTTTTGCTGTGGCAACAAACAGCCCCAGGATCCTAATAGCTTAAAGAAATAAAGTTTTATTTTTGGTTCCCACTACTACAGATTGGCTGTGTGTGCTGCTCATTACTGTCACTTAGGCTCACAGAATATTGCCAGTTGCTGTGAAAGAGAATGAAGAGAGCTCTCTGAGGCTTTGCACTGACAATTAAGTGCTTAGCCTCTAAGTATCTCATGTCACAAGTCATTGGTCAGAGCTGGTCACAGAACTCACTCAGCCTCCGGGCAAGGAAAAGCAGTCCTACTGTGGAACAGCATGCATGCTGGTGCAGATTTGCTTCCTTAGGACACAGGCTCTGAAATGGAGATTAACAAGAGGGAAGTTTATGAAAGAGCACTCTAAAGGTCAACACTTGTAGAAGGAAACAGGAAAAAGGCAGGATTGAGCAGAGAGAGAAATTGGGCTACAATTCAGATGCAACATAGTTCTCACTAAACTCACAAAGAGCTCTGGAACTGAGAGTTGTCGCAAGTCAGAGCAAGAAGGCTGGGTCTTCCCCATACCTTCACCGACCCATCATTGGGGTGGGCTGCCCTTGAGAAAGTGGAATGACCTTGAAATAGGCAGCTCTCTTTTAGGAATGACAATTCCGAGAGGGGGTTGAGTGGGGAGCGCTATGAACTCAAACACTCCTGACAGCTGACAGGAAAAGCCTGGGCAGCATATCACAGCGTTTTCTGCAAACGCTTGCCCACCAGGTGGTAGGATCAAAGCAGCGCCAAGGAGAAGCAAGCAGAGAGCAAGGGTTGCTTTGGTATGAAGGATGGAGAGTCTAGCTTTGAAACCTGGCCTATCAGAGTGATCACCCAACTGGATCCTACACTCTGATTGAACAGCCATGGAGTCACTTAATAGTAGTACACATACAGAAAGGAGGGAAAACTTGGCTGGTAAATGAAATATGACCCCACTTATCACTGAGAAAATTAATCTTCCACTTTTTATGGTAACCAAAGACTGGGATTTTATGACAGGGAAGTGAGACACTAAGATACCCAAAAGCTGAGAAGGAAAACTGTCTTGATGTTTTACCCTGACACTTGACATAAATAAATTTTCTAAAAGACTGTCTTACTTAAGATTAACAAAATCACAGTCTCGGGATCCTCAAAAATCATTTTTGAACCTTTGTTGCACAACTTGAAAAACACCAAGTTAAGAATAGACTCTCCTGCCTTTTCAAATCGGTGTTTGTTTTTCTCACTCCGTCTTGGTAGAGCTGCAGCCCACCTTCACTCCCTGTTCATCCTCCGCTTATGTTGATTCTGAACATTATATTTGTGATGCCCAGTTTGGTTGCTCTGAAAAAGTGTGAGTGATTTGAATGGGAACTAAGATAAGTAGTTCTAAATTTGATAAACAAGACCATATGACTTACAACCTGGAAAGGAGGCAGAAATTAAGCTCTGATGAAAGAAAATTAAATTTGGCATCCATGTGTAATTTCATGTGTGTGTGTGTACATGTACATATATAACACTGATTCTGGCATCCATGAAATAAACTTCTACTAGGAAATTTGGTAAATATAGTAGGGTACCATTTCCTTCTAATGTCCTAATCATTTTTAGTGTCTTGACTTTTGTTTGCTCAAAGCTTGTTGCTTGAATAACTGTTTTCTCCTTGTGCTTTTATAGAGCGTCATTGTCTTGACTAACAGCTACTAAATCTTGAACAGCTTCTGTGAGCTAGGCCTTGTGCTTGCTTGGCACTTGGCATTATCTTCTTTAAAAAGAAAGTTTGGGATAATTTCAATATGCAAACATATAAAAGTTAATATAAGTAAAAACCTATGTACCCACCACTCAGTTTTAAGGCATCTTAACATTTTGCCATGTTTGCTTCATATATTTTTTTGTAATATAATAAACTTTGATAGAATCAGTTGAAACTGCGTCTGTACTTGTCCTTTATCCCTAAAGACAATTCTGCTCTGAAGTTTGTGTTTTTTCAGTCCCAGGCATGTTTTTACAACTTTGCTGCATATGTTTGTGTCTATAAACATCATATATGATTTTGGTGTTTTAAAATTTATGTAAGGATGTGACATTCTCCTACCTTATTTTTCTCTCAACAAGCTTTTGGGATTTATCTCTAAATTCATTTTAACCACTATATTCCGTTGCATGAGTATACCAATCTCTTGTTGATGGACTTTTAGATTGTTTCCAAATTTTCACTGTCCCAAAATACTGTGGTGAAAATTTCTGTATTTGCCTCTTGCACTTAGAAACAAAAGCTTAGCTTCTCTAGGCAATATACTGGAAAGGAAAGTTGCTTGATTTTTAACATTATTAAATGTTGTGCCTTATTTTTGTCCTTACAGCAACTCTATAAGATAGTATCATGAACCCTACTTTATTGGCTTTATATACTTATTAGCTACTAAGTCATGGTGCTGGAATTTGAACAGAGCCCTAGCTGACTCCATTGCTCAGCCTCTTGCCACTGACTTGCTGCTTTGTTTATTAAAAGGTAAACAATACATAAATATAGAATCTTATCATTATTCCCTTATTCCTTCACTCAACAAATACTGGGTGGAAAAATAGCCTAGTGCTTAAAACTGAAGTCTCTATGCTCAAACTTCCTGAATTCAAATCCAAACTCCCCTTTTGTTAGCCATGTGAGTTCTCTGAGACCAGTTTTTTCCTGCTGTTGTAAAATAGGGATAATTACAGTACCTCTCTTAAAGAGCTATTCTCTGAGGATTGTTATGAAAATTAAATGTATTGACATTTAAAAGCACTGAAAATATCATTAGATGTATATGTGAGGATGGATGGATGGACATATGGATGGAAGGAAGGATGAATGGATTGACAAGTGGATGGGTAAATTAGTGCCTGGCAAACATTTTTCTTCATGTGTGCAGTGTTCTCAATTTTTTATGTGTATGATTAACCTTTGGAGCTTCTAAAATCTGTAGAAGCCTTAGCTCCCCCTTCCTCCCCATCATCCAGATTAAGAATTACAGCACAGTGCAGCAAGCAGGAAAGGGGCCCTCTCACCACTGCATGCAAATGCTGTGCCCACATGGTTTCATGGCACAGCTTTTTATCAGCAACTTCTGGCATCTTAATGCTGCTGTCTTCTTGGTTTATTCTATGAAAGCAGAGATGCTTACAACTATGTAGTTGTTTTATTTCTGTCTCTTCAACAGGAAGCTATTAAATTTTCTTCCTCTAAACCCTAAACCCCACTCCATATGACTAAGAGCCCTCGATTGTCAGGCGTGAAGGCTATGGGACCCCACTGACTGCTGCCTTTCTCATCTGTGTGAGCTCTTCTCTAATATGACCCTTAGATTTGCAACTGCTAAGGAGACCCAGTTATTACAAACATTATGGGTCTCTTGGGTAGCATAGCCAGCAAATATTTTTACAGGAATTAGTTTGTCTCATTAAAATGTTTGGATGCTTATTATCCAAGAGAGAAAAGGGCCTTGATAAAATAGGGAAATAGAATGGGCTGTAGTCAGCTGGACCTGGATTAAAACCAAGGTTTTATCACATAACAGCTTTGTGACCTTGAGCCAAGCTACTCAATTGCTCTGAGCCTCTTTACCTTATGAAAGATAAATTAAGATCTATGTTTTAAGTTTGGTATAAAGGCTAATACTAATATGAATTGAGAACTAGTAGCTTTTCGAGTGTAAAAACTTGGATCCCTTGCGCACACTTGATTCAAAGCCTAAAATTATCCTGTGCTAGTGTTTATGAATGCAAACTCTGAGTAGGATTTAAGCCCCCTACACCCTCATTCGATAGCTGTGTGACATGGGGAAGTTTTGTGACCACTTCGTTCATCATTTTCTTGGGAATGAGATGGGGATGATAATAGTGCCTACTTCTTAGAGTTGTTGAGGGAGCAACAGGAGATCACATAAGTAAGTAACTCACTAGGGTGCCTGGCTCATGGTAAGGATTATAAAGTGTTAGCTATGGTTACTTCTACTTCATGAACATTTTCTGTGTCAGACACACTTCTAAACACTTTACATTTACCACTTCATTTAATCCTCCTAACAATGATATGACATAGGTATTATTAAATCCATTTGGCAGATATGGGAATTGTTTAGAGCTGTTAGGTAACTTGTCCAAGATCAAAGATTGGAGCTCAGATCTGTCTAAACACAAAGCCCATCCACTCAGCCCTTACCTGGAATGGACTTCGCTTGCAAAGCATTCAGCCTCTTCCTCTCCTACATTTGGCTTCATGAAGTCCTTCCTAGGACTTTCAGTCTCTCCCTCTGCCAGACCCTGGAGCCATAGCAGGAATGAATAAATACACTGATACTAAATGGCTAATGCCGTTTTCCCTCAAAGTCGATTCTCAGCCCAGCCTCCAGAGAGATTTTGTTAAATGTAAGTTAGATCGTGTTATTCTCATGTTCAAATTCTTCCAGTGACTTCGCAACTCTGAGAACAAGCCAGCCTCACCATACCTACAAGGCTGTGTGATTGGCACCCCTTTCTCTGGCTTCCTCCACCCCTCACCCCAGAGAACACACTCAAGCTCTGGTCTCAACTCCTGATGCTCTTCCCCTCTGCAACTCTTCTTCAGCAACGCTGGCCTCCTTGCTGTCCCTTAAACCTACCAAGTACAGCCCAGCCTCAGAGCCTTTTGCCCTTGGACTTTTCTTTGCCTGGAACATGTGCACTCAGAGATCCACAGCATTCTTCCCCCAACTTCCTGTAAGGCTTTCTTGAGATGTCTCCCAACCAGAGGCCACCCCTGACCATTCTCTTATCCTGATTTATTTTTCTCTGTAATCCTGTCCCAACCTGACATTAAGACTTTTCTTTTTTATGTGCTATTTTGTGTCTTCCCAACTAGAATGTTAGCCAAGGTGTGCAGGCACTTTGCTTTGCTCACTGTAGCATCCTCAGGGCCTGGAACTTTATCTATCCTTTGGAAGTATTTTTTGACTAAATGAACAAAGGAATTTGCTTTATATTTTAAGAAGCCCAGTTAACCACTCTGGAGGGAATGGCTGGGGTGGAGGGCAGCCATTGATGTCCAGCTGAGAGAGAGATATGCGGAACCTTCTGGGAAGGGTAGCATGTGATGTATTTAGAAAGACACTAAGAATTTGGAGAAGGAGAAAGTAGCATTAGGGGGACTTCATCCAAAGGGAATATTTGCATCATATAGTTTTGGAAACTTCATACAGGGAAAAAGCCATGCAAGCTGAATTGTATTTGTATGTGTGTGTTTATTCTTTTTCATTATTGAAAATAGCCCCAAGCTGGTATAAGTTGATTGAGAACACATTCATCTGGGCTCTCTGAGCTCTCTCTCATGTCTGTCTCCCATTCCACTGGGATAACAGGACAGGTTATTTCCTCTAGCCCCTGTGAAAACGGGCTCACCTGAGGACCCCAGCTTTTGTGTACAGCCAGCTGCAAGTCCCCACCCATGCCCAGACCAGAGTGGGGAAGCTGGCAGTTCCTGCAGTTCTTGTCAGCTCTGGCTGTCAAGTGATCACTGTTTCCTGTGCCCAGCCCTGTGGTTAGGCTCTGGAAGGTGCCCTGTTTTGTTTGACCACTGCTGACAGACATGTAGGCCTCTTGCTTTCTTTTTCTTGGCATTATATGCATGTTGCTTATCATTCTGAGCCTATCTCAGGTCATTGCTGTCCACTGGAGTTAAGGATAGAAGGACCCCTTGAATTTCCCTGGATTCTCGCGAGCCAAAAAATGCAAAAACAAAAAACCTTTTTTCCCTCTGGTCTTCATTACTGTTTAATTAAAAGCTTGCTTTCCCCCTAAATCTTTGGCTGCGCCCAAGCTTTTTAAAATTCTGCAAGCACAGACAATATAAAGAGAACCTGACCATTTGAGTTACAAGAGCTGGTTATTGTGTCTAATTATCAACCTCAAATAATGACAGAATCATAATCCTGAGCACAAAAAGTAATGCTAGGTGCATTACTTATATTTCCTGAAGGTAAAGTACATTTTAAAATAAATAGCCTAATACCATTTTTTAAATGAAATTAATGTTTAAGTTTGAAACAATTTGGTCAGGATATAATCTTAACTCTAAACTCATATTTAAACTTAGGGGGGGTTCTTTCTTCCTTAAGGTTTTCATGTACTAATCTTCGTAAGTATTGGTGCCAGATATAGTTCCAGCCAAGCTCGTAAGATTTTGCTCTCAAATTCTTTTTCGAAATGAGAATTTTTAGTGAATGTGTTTTTCCTTTAATAAACTGCACAAGCCAACTCTGAGTTTCAAAAAAAAAGAATTTTTTTGAGATGTTGGTGCCAGAGTCTGAATAGTTCCCTTTATTCACTCCTAGATTGCATCATTTTAATTTTTTTTCAGGCTCATACACTACAGTAGGTTACAAATTTTACAAAAATTTGCCACACTTTTTTACTGTATATTGTGTATATTAAGTAAATCAAATTTAATGATGTTTTCTTCTATCCTTTTGTCTTCTTCCCTGGCTTTTTTTTTTTTTGGTATATTTTCTCTGAGCTAATTAGGTCATGTTTGGGTGCATAAGTAAATTATGTGTGTGAGTACATATATACAAAAACTGTATATATACATATACCTAGAGAGAGAGAGAGAGACAAATATATGCCTGTATCTAAAGTCTTTCCAGAAAGTAAAACTGTGAGCCAACATATTCCCCAAACATAACTGTTGCTTTTTTCCCTCCATCTTCAATGTCACTTATAAAGTTATAGTATGGCCCTGAAATAAACAGTAATATAATTAGGTTCCATAATCAATGGTACTCTTTAGGAAGTGGCTATCAATTTTGATGTAGTTCAGCAAATGAAAATTTGGTGAATAACTTTATCTGTTTTACAAAGAAGAAAACAGAGAACCAAAGGGCTGGTTGCATGTTGAAGCTCCTGTGTCACCTTCTGGCTTGGCTTGGCTCACTCATCTGTGCGAGGGGGCCATACCGTGGCCGCCACATGGCAGGAACTGACATACCCTTACTTAGAGAGCAGCAGAGCCAGTTACTCACAATGCAGCACTTGCCCACTCTCCTTCCCCAGCAAACCACGTGCAAGGTGGAAAGGTCTGGGGGTAGTTCATGAGCTTAAGGGATGTGTGAGGAAAAAGAGGAAGCAGCCTGGGAAAACAGAGTTCCTTCCTGGGCCAAAGCAGCTTCATTCATTACTTACAGATCAGTCTGTTTTAATAGACCTTGTAATGAGATGAAGAGTTTTATCTGTTTCCTTTGCGTGACTTGCACATGTCCATTGGGAGCTAAGGATGTTGAGGTTAGATGGATGCGAGCTATAATCCTGTGCCTCATCCCTTACTGGCTATGTGACCCACAGCATGATGCCCAACCCCCTGGAACCTCAGTTTCCTCATCTATAAAATAGCAACATAATATCTCATAATATCGTTGTCAGGTTAAATGGGAAAATGTTATATGATTGCTCGGATCAATGCCTGGGACATGACAGGAACTCAATAAACTGCAGTTTAAGAAAAAAGCCCTGACTTCTAAATTAGGCAGAAAAGGAAAAGCATCCTAGAAATGGGATGTTCTCTTCCTCTCTCATCTAGATGAAGTTCTTAAAATAAGGACAAAAGAGGAGGAGATTTTGAAGCAGAATAATTATATTATAGTCAGTCTGGTAAATTGTTAAAATCTTTTTCTAGAACAGTTTAGTTGTATCCAATCAAAATGTAAGATATGTGCCCTCTTTGACTAAACCTTTTCACTTCAGGAAATCGTCTTAGGGACATTCTCATAGAATGGTATATGTGCAACATTACCATATGTGCAATATTTTCTTTGCAAAATTATTTGAAACAGCATGTCAGTGGAGAATAATTAATGAAATGATAGTACCTCCTTACTATGAAATTCTATGAGGTCAGTAGAAAGAATGAAATAGAGCTCTACGTCATGGCATCCCAGAATTTTCAGGGATAAATTTTGGGGTAAAAATGAAAACAAAGCACAGGGTGTATGTGTGTATGTGTATGTGTGTGTAGAGATAAGTAGATATAGATACATGCAAGAAATGTGTGTGTGTGTGTTCCTATACATGAGTGGAAGTGTTGGAAATACATAACATACATACACATTAATAACTGTTACCCCTTGGAAATGTGGATGAAGATAGAGGTTCCTACTTCTTTTAGTTTCATAATTCTGAATTTAAATTTTTTAGAGCAAAGATATATATGATTTTGTAAAACTTATTACTCACAAAATTTGATCCATGCTATTGTGTCAAGTAGTTCTGGAGAGCAGGTATCTGCCCAATTTAACTTTGTGTCACAGCACCCAGTATGTAGTAGAGTTTCTCCAAATGTTTACCTAGTATGTCCATTTATTAATGATCATTAATTATTGTTGATGTGATTACTGTCAAATAAATAGTAATATTTGTGCTCATATGAGAACCTATTATTAAATAAAGTATTAGAGTTTTCTATCATTAAAGTAAAACAAGTTCATAAAATTTAATTGCAAATCCAAATTTAATAGAAATGGGTGGCTTAAAAGTGAAAGTTCCTTATTAGTGGTACATTCATCAGATATTTCCTAGACATACAGTGACATTCATATTGCGTTAACATTTTTTTTACTGAGGTGGGGTCATCCTATACATCTTGTTTTGAAATGCATTTATTTACTTTCTAACATTTTACATACTGATCTATCATTATTTTCATAACTGTGTTTATTCAGTGATATGTATGTAGCATAATTAATTTCACCAGTTCCCTATCATTGGACATTTAGGTTGTTCCCAGTTTTTACTAAGACAGTGTTACAATGATCATCTTTATATGTAAAACATTTGTAGGAGAATTTCTATAAGAGAAATACCTTGTTTGGAAGGAATTTGTATTTCCAAAAGTGTTATACCAATTTATACTGCCACTGAGTGAACAAGAATTCTTTTCCATACCCTAGCCAGTAACTTTTGATTTACACCATTCTACTAGCCAAAAATTTATATTTTATGTCTGTTTTCATTTTATTTCATTTATTAGTGGAGTTGTCCAATTTTCATAACTTTCTTAAGGGTCATAATGCTCAAACCACTGTAACTGTTCTTGCCTGAGAACATCAGGGGAAGCGTATTCTGCATTTTACCACAGTATAAATTGGTTTGCATGTTTTCAGAGCCAGACTTGAAAGCAAATTGTAGTCTCTTAGAAAATATTTGTTATCTCAAAATGATATGCAATTTTCTTGTATAGTTAAATAAATTTATGTAGAGCATTATTGGTTAAAAATCCAAGTATCATAAAGATGAATTTTCATATAGTCTTTCTGTCATGCACTAAGATCTCAAGACTTAAAAATTGCTGAGAATTGTTCTTCCTTTTTACATTCATTATGCTGTTTGTTTCATACTGTGGTTTTCCTATTTACTACTGAGTGTATTTCAGCAATTTTGTTTTATCTCTTCTCAAAATGTTTGGACTTTAGATAACCTGGAAAAGGATCATCATGGCTTTTATTTACTTTTTTAACAAGAGATAAAGCTTGGGACAGAAGAACAGAACAATGCACCATTTATTTTCCTTTTTTCATCTTAGATGACTGAGGTCTTTAAGCTTATTTGGCCTTCTAGGTCCATATTTATTAACTTAGATATAATTTAGCCAGAGTTAAATTGTCTCAGTGAGATTTCGTAGCCACAAGCGACTATGAAACTGTCATTTGTCACGTTTTAGGAGGCTCCAGAACAGATTACTAGGGAGATGATTGAAACCACTGGTCCCGTTAATGTCATGCTTATTCCAAGAGCCACCCCCTGAGGGTGGGACAGAGGGACCTGCAGACCTGTTGGTGTAAAGACTTTCACCAGGGCCAGCCTAACTCAGAGGTACATTGGCATTGCTACAGGAAGCCACTCAAAGAGGCCTTTGGTCATTTTTTAGCTGCCCAGCACTTACCATCCAGGTTCCTTTTGGAGGATGACAGGCAAAGGCCAAGAGGCAGGCCTTAGTGCAGGCTTCTTTCTGTGATCACCAAGGAGGCCGGGTCTGCTCTCTGGTAGGGGGCAGGCCCATGGCCTCACGCTGGCTGCTGGATGTGTGCATGCTCCCGCCCTTACAGTGGTGGCCTGGGGGAGACTGTAGGGAAGTCAGAACCGTCAAGGCAGCAGCTGAGGAGATACACAGATAAGATAGTTGTTTGGTACAATATTGTCTGTGTTTGCTCCCTTATGGGTTTTCTGGTTTCCTATTCATTCTCTAGCCCTGCTTCCTGGAGCCATTTTTTCCCCCTCTTTCATCCTGAGAGACCTGATGGTGCAGGGAATATCACCCTCCATGTAACTCGAGAATATCCCGGTGGGTCTGTAAGCTAGAGCTTCCCATCTTTTTTTCATGTCAGAGTACATACAAGATGATAACATTTGTATGGCACCCAGGGTAAGTGTAGATGAGGCTGCTCAGGGCTTGATGGCAACACTGCAGGCCTTGAGGGCTGAGGGGGATCAGTGTCTCAGAACACCTACTGCCTGTTAGAGCCGCACATTGCTTGTGAAGCTGTGGTCCAAGCTGATCATGATGAGCTTATTCCTCTTGCCATTGCTTGGTTCAGAGTAAACATACAACCCAGCTCTGGCCAATGAGGAGCAGTTTGCTTATATAATTGGCAAAACGCAGATGGTAACAGAATTTACAGGAACAACAGTCTGGTTTCTTCAACAAATAAATTGAAGTGAAAGAGAAAGGAGAAAAAGAGATGAATGAAAGGGGAATTGATAGAAAAGTAGGGACCTGTGAGAAATAAATATCAACAAATAGTAAAATGTAGACCTTTTTTGGATCTCAATTCAGTGAACCTGGGGGAAAAAAAACACTTCAACAAGACAACTGGAAATTGTAATACTACCTGGATATCTGAAGATATTAAGAAATTAGTTTCACTTTTTTGGTAATTGGGATTATCATTTTTAAGAGTCCTTATCTTTTATATTGGCATACTTACAGATGAAGTTGTTTGAAGGCTTGGGTATGCTTCAAAGTAATGCATACAGAAGGACAGCAAGTGGGTAAGATTAGCCATATGTTGGTAACTGCTGGAACTGGGTGATGGCTATGTGGACGTCCATTATGCCAGTCTGTCACTTTTTGTAAGTGCTAGAAATTTTCCACCATAAAAAGTTTTGTGTTGCGCTGCTTTTAAAGGAATGTAAAGGGAAAGAGAAAGGGAAAAACAAAGCAAAACCCCAGATTCTGCAGAAGTACCGGAAGGAAATGGTAACATGCCTGAATGTTAACCCCTGGGTGTATTTCTTATTGTCAACAGCAGCAGATAGAAAGGCTGTAATTAAGAATGTAAGCCCTGGGTTCAAATCCTGTTCTACACCCAACTGGGGAACTTTTGTTACCAGATTCTCTGAACCTCAGTTTCTCATCTGTAAGATGGAGATGAACTATGGCCTACTTCATAGGGTTGTTTTCAGGATAAAAGAAGATAATCTATGTAAAGAATGGGGCATAGTAGTTGGTGCTAGTCAACACTCAATATATGTGGGCTGTTGACTATTATTTTATTGCATGTACCTTTCAAAATTAGAAAGTAACAGTGAGTGTGGGCACTTTTCAATGAACGCTAGAGCATTTTTGATGACTTCTGACTTTCAGAGGCCTTTTTCTGTTCCTTTCTCCACACATGGACATGAGATTAGATTTCACATAGTTTATGTCCACCACCTGAAAAACTGCACATGCCTTATGGTAAAACCAAATCAAAAGTCATGGCACTCACCCTGTGAACAGACAGAAAGGAAACGCCAAACTGCCTGCCTTTCTCCCTCTTTTTCACCTCTGTTTTTTCCATTTATGGTGAAGAAAGCAAGAGAATCTGCCTAGAACAAGAAACTTCCCTCTTTCTCTGTGTGGAGGGTAACATGAGTAATGGAGTTTTCCATCAGGGTTGTTTTTCCTGGACATGGTATACCCCCTCCAACTGCTGAAACATGTGATTTTGAAGGAGACCTTGAATAAACCTCAGATGTTCTTTATCGGTTGGGGATGCCGTCCCAATTTCTAGTAAATGATGAATTAGTTTTCTGTGGTGCTCTCCCTTTCAAACAAAAATTCCATTCATTCAGAATATTAGTGTAGAGCTTTCCCTGTGCATGATAATTTGTGTATTTTTTTATTTCTTGTCCCACTGTGGATGTCTCCCCTTTTCACCACCGTGTCCCCGCCACCTAGCCCAGTGCCCAGAAGAACCAGCTACAGAACCAGGCTATAATCTGTACAGCCCAGGGCAAAATGAAGATGGGCTCCTTGTTTAAAAAGAATTACCAGACAGCAGAGCATTAGATGACGTGTGGGGCCCTTCCGAGCATGGGACCCCAGGGCCAAGTTGTGCACTATTCAATTATTAGGCCTGGCATGTAAAAGACACCCAAAACATTGTTACTGGAATGAATGCAAATCTAAGAAAAACCATCAGGTATCTAAAGAGCTCTGACATTCAGACTGATAAAAGATGAAGAACAGAAACCAGCATGTGTGTGAAAGGGATGCATAATTCCTGTACCGCAGGTTCACGGTGAGGTAAAAAATAAGATGATCCCTCGCTCTTCTTGGGAAACACCAAGGGTAGGCCGTAAGTCCCTTGAGGGTCCAGACCATAGTGTTTACATCTTTGACTTCCTTTGCAGGATCTTGCCACATATGTGATACTCCATGAATATTTAAACTGCGCTGAATTGGTTCTAAAGGTAGAATTACAAAAGTATGAGGAGTTACGAAGGAAATATTCCTTTCTTTAATGCAAACCTCACTAAAAGCAGACAAACCGGTCTTAAAGTATGTCCTCTTAGTTTATGACAAATGGTTCAGAGCTATGCTCAGCTGTCTAAGTTTTGGGAAATTACAATACATTGCCCATGTTAGAATTTTAATGGTGTGTCTGGCATTCATTCAGTATATGAAGTGTTCTGTGATGAAAGTAGTGATAGTGTCGTGATAAATGCAAAGCTTCTCATAAAGATTCCTAAGACTTTATATTCCTTTAAATATCAGGACTCCATTTCCACATATTTTTTCCCTAAGTTGGTGGGCATATTTCCCTTGTGCTATTTCCAGGGGTGGTGAAATCCTGCTCAAAATCATCAAAACACTTACCCAGCTGTTAGTTGATCATCCAGTGTGTCCCAATTTGCATTTTATAGGCACATATGTACATATTTGATGAGACTGTCCCAGGGTATAATTTCATTTCCTGTGGGATTCCTTAACAGGGCTCCCTAAGTCTACATTCCTGGGTCCAAGTTAAGCTCTGCCCTGTATCTGACTGCCTGGCACCAGCCATTAGGAAAAGCAGTTGTTTCAGTTGGATGTAGTCAGCTGTGCTGCTGTTCCTCTGGGGCCTTAGAATGCCAGTTCTCCAAGACCCCTTCCTAACCAATTCATTGATCACAAAACCCTAGTCTGATACCTGAGTACTGCGGGAACCATCAGTTTCCCCAAGACGGAATCCCTGGTACCTGGTGTCCCTATGTCTTTGCATCTGGAGCCCCACCAAGCTGCCAGTTCTGTGTTGATAAGCTCCACAATTGTTGACCAGTGTTGGTCAGCTGGCTAATGGTATCTGGTTATAGCTGTCCTTTCTCCTGCAAACTGAAGTGTGAGATAGGACCTTTTTGTTGGCAAGTGAATATTTTAGAAAATTAAAACTAGCTTAAGCAAAAGTGGAAATTATAGTAATTCAGAGAGACATTGAAGTCTGTCTGTCTCCAACTCTTTTGTCCAGTGTGAGATACCCCAGTAGCCGATTTGTAACTCCAGAACAAACAAAAACTAGCAACTAGCACACTTTTCCCCTATTCCTTACAGCTAGAGACTGTGGGGAGAGAAGACTTTTTTAGTTATTCCTGAATGACTTGTTCATCCCATGATATGGGGACATGAGGTTAGCCTCACCTTAATCATTTGGATGGTGCCCTCATAGAAAAGCAGGGATCTGTGTTAGAAAAAGGTGGAACAGAACCCTGGGCAGGGAAGAACCTCAGACACTTCCTCTGATAGGCTCCTAGTTTTAATCCTGGTGTGTGCTTCCACAGCTGTAACCTGACCTCACCCCACCCCTGGTTTGATCTGTTGGCCTTCACCTGGCCCTCAAGTTGGCCTGGCCTCCTGGTTTCAGCCCATTCTGTTGCTCTGACTCTGAAACTGGTTCTCAGAATTCTGATTGTCCTTCTCAGTGAAAATGTCACACCAGTTCTCCCAGTAGACTCTCTACCCAGTGAAAAAAGTTACCATTTACTGAGTTTTTAGTGCTGTTATAAATGCAAGTAGAAGGTACCCCAAATATAAAGTAAAACCTCATTTTCCCAGTAAGAAGGTTCAAAATATGTTTCAGGCCAACTTGAATATATAAAAATCAGGAAATGTAGGTTAAATAATGAAACATTTACTCCTGTTAGTTCAGATCATTGATTCTATAGAGTAATAATTTGAACACTGTCTCCTTCTTTACAAAGTAATATTTCTCAGCCTCTTCAGCTGCATCCGTGGGTTGGCCATGGGACGGAAGTCTTCCTTCTTGTCCTCCTCATAGTTATCCCAAGCCCAGCAGCTTTGCTCCTGTCATTTGAGCTACAGCACTTTTTGAATCTCCATATATGATACTTCACCCAAAATGTTATTACATGACGTTTTTTTCCTCTTTCCATTTCATCCCGTAGATGTATATGCATGATCTCCCTGCATAACCAGCTACTGCACGGCCTTTTAACATGATGTTTAAGTAACTTGCTTAATTTAACACCCAGCCCTTCCAATTGTGAGGTCACATGCCCACAAATAATTACAAGCTCTGTATTAAATTCTTGGCCACCTTCTCTGCTGATTTTATCAAGTGACCTGTGTAAGCAACCAAACATGGCATTGATTGAGGTTGTCTTAGGCTACTATGTCTTCTGCAGACAGTACATTGTAGTTCAAAATAATTAGTCTTTGAAAGTACTTGAAGATAAAACCACTACCCCATTTCTGAGAGGGATTTTTTTTTGATGGAAGGAAGAGGGGAAGATTCCCTCGTTAAATATGTGGGGTATGTACCTATCTGTGAGGCAAATTCTTTGTGCTTCGCATGCATTATCTCATTCAATTACCCCAACACCCCTTAGGAGATAGGGGTTTTTAACCCCCATTTTACAAAGGAGGAAATGGATCCTCAGGGAGGTCAAACAACTTGCCCAAGAACATAAACCACAAAATGCCAAATTTGTCTCACTCCAGAACTCATGTTGTTATCCATACCGTACACTTACATAAAATTCAAGGTCCTTTTTTTCAAGTGGGAGAAATATACCATGTCACAAGCTTTTATTCAACCATTCTAAAAATAACAAATGGGTTTATTATTTTTCCTAGATTCTGTATATTTTTCTTTCCACTGCACCTTCAAGTATAATGTATTTTCATTATCCCCTATCAAGTGATTTCAATAGTAATGAGTTTGTTAAATGCAAATGATGAAATAAATCCTTTTTTGAGACCACAGTCATCCTGCCAAGATTTCTGTTTGTGTGCTGACGCTGACTAATGCTCTGAGTTTCTTTCTGAGTGTATAAGCTGCTGACATGAAATGGCAGTGGTAACACCGTTGAGATAAATGCTATTTCTGTTTGTATTCATTATATTCCCTGCCTTATTCAAAATATGTACAGACAGAAGAGCTAAAATTGAAGTCTGGATTCTTAGATGGCATAGCCCATTTCTGAGTAATTATCTAACCCAAGTCATGCATTATCAATGCGTTTGAGTAAACAGTATACAGCATTTCATGTGTCTTACACGTGTAATGAAGAGAAACTTCAGGTAACCAAAAGAAATAGCAGAAGTTTTTGGTTTTGTTGGGGTTTTTTTCCTCCATTGCTTTCCTGACTCATGTTGAAAGGCTTTTGTTTCTAATCAAAGCAACAAATAGTAAGGTCATTTCCTTGCGATTATATGGCAGCGGAAGGCGTCAGGGTTTTTAGGTCCCTACTTCCACCAGCTTGTATTTGGAGAAAACACACACACACACACACACACACACACACACACATCACTAGTGCTTAGTACATGTGTCCTTTGTCCACAAATTCTCTCCAGTCCCTTTAAATGAGCCGAGATCATGGTTTGGAGGTAAGAACAACTTCTTTTAC